TTTTACTTGTGGAATTCATTGATAATCTTTTAAATATCTTTTTGTGTTTTTTCTTAGTTTCCAGTTCTTTCAGTTTGGTTTTCTTGCCTTCTTTTACATCTTTAAACATTCAGAACATACTTCTAATGTAATTTCTTTCTGATTGTCCTATACTTCTTTCCATTCTGATTATGCTCATTCTACTGTTTCTAGCAACTGCTGCCTAACCCTTGTGTTGCTATAACTTTTCAATGCAGTTTATAAATTTTGATTGAGAGCTCATCTTCAGCAGAAGTTGTTTTTTAAATCTTTAGGTGTTATTAAATCCCCCAGTTCTTGCATTTACATATGAGAGGACTTTATGAATTTTAATAATGCTGGCAAATTGTTATTATAATTTAGGGGTTCTAATAATATTGGTAGTTTGTTTGAACCCAACAACCTAAGTACAGACTTGAGGGTTGATTTCTTATGGATAACGTTATATTTTTCATACAAAGCTCAGTACAGGGAGCAAACTTCCTGGCTTTTTTCACAGCTGGTGAGTACAGGTATTGTATTTCCCTGTTCATATCTAAGACAGCCTCTCCAGGTGTCAGGCTTTATCTAGTGACATCACATTGGCTCCCCTGCTTTAAGCAGACCCAGGACCCAATCACCTTCCATTATAAACTTTAAGACCTCCAGCCCCAGGATCTAGGACCTAAACCCAAGTCTGAAGTCTCAAAGCATCATGACAGCATTAGCTTTTATGTGGTAAGTACCACTCTAGGTCTTACTTCTTCATTTTGACATCTGTGTTGTTTTGTTGATTTGGTTTGGTTTGGCTTTTTGTTCATTTGCTTGTTTGTCTTTGGCTTGGTTATTCATGTTTTTTAAAAATCCAATAGGTAATTAGAGAGTGCTGGCTGGATCGACTCTGGATGTTTCTGAGTCTTTCACTTTGAGCCACAGTCTGGAGGACTTCAGATTTATTCCTGCAAATTTTAGCCTTCCTTCCTTCTTCTCCAACCCTACATTTTATACCCAAACTTAATTTATAGGTGGGGAAAGAGTGCTAGTAAAATAAGGTCCAAAGTCTAAAAACACTGTGGAGTCAATTTTAAAAACATAACCCTCTGATTCATTGAACTTTTCCTTTCTTTAGTTCTCAATCTTTAGGATAATCAAAGATCATTTGAGGAGTTACTTAAAATGCAAAATTAGGAATCTTGTGTGCAGAGATTCCAATTCAGTAGGTCTAAAGCAGAGTCCAGGAATATCAATATTAACCAAGAACACCAGTAGGTTCAAATATCTGTGGTTTGATTTCTTTAGTGACTTCAGACCATCAACTGAGAGATTAAAAACAAACACACCCCTGACATGAGTTTTTTTTTTTTTTCACCCTAATTTACACTTTCCCACTAAAAGCAGAGGAAAGAAAAAACAGTTTACTTAATGAAGGGTTCTGCTTACCTTGTTTACAATAAAATTTTATAAAGCTTCTCATTTAATTGTGCAAGATACCTTTTCCTGAAAGGTGCTCATTTATAAAATTTATTTGAGCTAAGTCTTATTTTTAAATGGTGCAATAAGAAATATACACCACTGTAAAGATCCTGACATTATTTGGAAACTTTTTACCATGATGATTTTTGTCTCATGAGAAATTACAGAATTCTATAAAATTACCTAGGCTTAATTTATAGAAAGCTGAGTCAAGAAACAGGTGTTACTGTTGGAATGATGAAGTTACCCTCTTCCTCACTCATAAATTTCTAGTGTCTGAGCCTGTAAGTTACTCTAAATTAGATGCCGAGTTCACATAGATTTATGTCATTGATTTCCTTTCACTAAGGAAAAAAACAGGTAGATGATCTGCATGTATCTTGTTAGCTGTTCTCAAACCACATACATCTGAGTGCAAGTATCAGTGCAGATGCCGGTGCTTCAGTGGCTCCGACTTTCATGTGTCCCAGACCTGGATGTTGGAAGCCACTCTTGAAAACGATTTGCATCTCTGTGCTATAAGCTTGGCTACAGTGCTAGCTAGCATTCCATTTCCAGATGGCTCCTATTACCACCTAATTATTTTAAACCATGATTTTATTCCAAACAATTTAGCATTGTCAAGGGTCACCTCCCAGTACAAAATTGCTGAGATCAAATATTTTCGGTTCTAAGTCTATGGTTAACAGAGTTCAGGAATGGCCTTCTTTAGAGTGATTGATAGACCATTTAGCAAAATCCATAGATAAACTTTAAATCCAATATTAAAACTGTAATAAAACTATAAATAATTTTTATAACAATTGTTATTACATCACAATTATTAAATCATGAGTAGTATTATACCACAACTATTATCACAATTATTATATATTTTATTTTAGATTTTCAACTGTCCAGAAAAACAAGCTAGAAAGTACCAAAGAAATCTATTTGTATGTTCATTTGCTCATTCATTTACTCATGCATTTATTAATTCTTTTCATATTTATGGAGGGCTTATTATGTGCCTCAGTAAGATGAAGAAACCAGATGGACTTTTTCTCTCAAATAATTTTCACCATAGTAGAAAAGGAGAAAATTAGAATTCATATCCAAAAGCTTGGGAAAATATATGCAGAAAGGCAATATGTATTAGATGATAAGGGTTGAGAAAATTCTGGGTATCTTCTTTACATTATCAAGATATGTTTTCTCATCTTAATACTGATTGGAGACATACGGATTTGAGAAAAAGGAAATAAGTCTAGATTTGGAATTGGGTACACTGTTCTATTTTGATTGATAATTGTCTTGTTTTTAAGTTTTAGTTTATTATAAGACACAGTACATGCATGTGATTAATACACTCTGCTCTCTATAAGGGTATTGTTCTCCTGGCTTTGTCCACCGTGGGCACCCGTGTGCTGGATCTAACAGAGTAAAACTAGCACAATTACATCTATTGTGTTTATACAATATGAGGGGTCTTCAAAAAGTTCATGAAAAGATTTGTATTATCTTTTAATTCCATTTTTTCCATGAACTTTTTGAAGTATTTGGGTACACACAGTCATTTGGAGTTTTCTTTTTTTTTTTTAAACACAGAATTTATGGAGGCCTTAAAAGCATTTGGTGAAAATGATTAATCTAAACTCTAGAATAAAAGTTTATGTATATTTAAATATGTGGGAATGTGGGGAAGGAAGAGGGAGGGCGTAAGTGTGTTTGCATTTTTTTCCTAAGAGTGCTGGCCTGCTATTCATTCTTTCAGACTTCTCCTTTCTGTTTCCCATGCTGCTCTTCCCTAGACAATTTTACTTATGATTCCTTGCATTAATGATCTTCCCAAATACTCTTGCTTTTGTACTTGCTTAATGTGTATTTTACTTTCTGAGTCTTCATCAGTTGTGTTCTATGGAAAGTGTCATTTCCCTCCAGTGAAGTCGGTAAAATGTCACTGTGTTTTTCACTCTATTTCTAAGTGTGCCAGCTGGTGACACTTGGGCTCTATGCCTCTTCCTCCAACCCAGCCTGGGCATTCTGACTCTTAGGTCCTCCTCTTACCCATGGTCCCTCTTGCCACAGAACTTGCCATGGAAGTTGTAGAGGGTTAGAAATCTTGATTCTCATTTGATTTTTAGAATAGGGTTTTTAAGTAATGCATGCATGGGGCAAAAGTCCTCAGTTAAGAGACAACAGTCTACAGCCAGTGGGCAAAAGCCCATCTAATCAACTCTAATCACTGTTTAGGTATGGGATTGTATACTTTAATGATTTTAGAGCTAACAGGTGGTTGACATACCGATCCTGTTAAGAGATTTTAAAGAATTGCTGTAGGGAAAAATGTGAAAAAATGTTTGCTAAGGGAAAGCTGTTTGTTGGTAGAAACTTTAGAGACAATTATACTTACATTTAAATGATCTTACTTGTTCCCATTGCTTAAGCTATACTTAGCCATAGATAAATTTGTCACATTGCCCATGTCTTTGTGTCCTTTTGAAATGATTGAATCAACTGATTTTTCTTATGAAACTTCCTTGTCTTTCCAATAAAAAACAAAGCTAACTTTGAATCGGGGCTATACCCGGTTTTCTCCTTCTAGCAGAGGAGTTGCTAAGGTGCAGTCCCTTCGGGCTTCTCATTGCATTCATGTTGCTTTGAGTAATCTTTTCTTCATCTCCATTACACAGTGAGAAGTGTAACAGGAAGTGGGGTAAGGGTATTTTAAAATGCCGTTTAACTTGGAAGTGTGACTTCCTGGACCCCCCAGGGTACACAATCATAATGCTACCTGTATAACATATTAGGTACATCTGGTGGTTATGGCTTAGGAGAATTATTAATTAATCACTTCACACCAATTACCATGAAGGCTATGTTATCACATATAATCATTATTTCTCTCTCCAGGCTACCACTGGTAAAAATGAATAAATAATATTTGATATGTTATTATTTTAAAAGTTGTTTCTATATCATCCAGATACTAATCTCTCAACTGGATTGCTGATCCCATGTCTCAAAATGTCACTAAAGCCCTGGAGAGCATGCACTGAGTCATGCCATAGTATAGTGATCCATTTTTATTATTATAATCTAGCAACTTAAATTGAGAGTCATATATTTTACTTGTCTTGTTATATTATAATAGTAATTTGTTTGTGAATTTAGAACAGATTATTCATTTAACTAGTAAGGATAATTTCATATATAATAATCAGCTGGTCCTAACATACTTTTAAATTTTTTAATAATTACAAATTATCACTGATATAATTCTACAGTATTTCTAGAAGATTCATATTCCAACTTTACATTCTATGTAGACCTTCAGGAAGACTAATTCCTTTCTTTCAGAAAGTTTATTTATGGGCCTCTGTACCACAATTAAGATGTTATTGAATAAAGACAGAGAGCTGAAGTGTACCTTAAATTTCCATATTCTCCCTAAACAAGTCTGAATTTTTTGCAGAAGTTGCTTAATGCCATGAAAATGAAACACCTTTATCATAAGAGCAATTTGCCAGAAAACAGCAGTGTCCACTCACGTTTGTCTTGCTCTGCCTCCACTCCTTCACTTTCTGTGTCACTTGGCAGGATCCAGGGCTGATGAACCACCTGCAGTTGCTTTAAGGATTCATCCTGCCAAAGAGCACAGTTACTTTAGATTTAAGTCTTTTGATATGAAACTAATATGAGTGTATACTTCAGTCTCATTAATTGCATGTTCAAAAACCATAACACGAATTTCCCCACAACAAAGAGCAGCTCTAAGTTCAAATTCATTGTCATGTCATAGACATACCACAGACTCTGAACTCATTTGTTACACATTCTTTTTTTAATAAGATTTAAGCTCCTAATAAGAAAAAATATCTGCACTCTGTTCCTCCTGAATTAGGATTTTTATGGAAATGTTGACACATTCTTGGAAATACAATGATGAAATGTATTGCACAAAATGTGCCTCTTTGCCATCAAGATTTCATATTCCTTTTAATAAGAATGAAGATTAGTAGCATTTAGAGAACATCCTCAATCTTACCCCCAGCACTATTTCACTGCCTCCTTCCTCTTTCTGCTTCCTTATTTTTGTTAAAATATTTCTCGTATGCTTCCTTGCTGCTCTTTGCCTCTGCCACTGACTTAAAGCAAACCCTCATTATTTCCCATCCTGACTGTAGTCCATCTAGGAAGTTTTCTAGGATCAAGTTTCATACCCTCTCTGATTGTCACCCCCCCCCCAGTTAGCTGCCAGAGGGAGTTTTTAAAGATGTCATATAATGTAATCAATACCTTGCTTATAATACTTTAGTGGCTCTCTTATTATTCCCAGGATAAAATCTAAACTCAAGGCCCTTCATGATCCATACTTGTCTACCCTAATCTATCACACTACCCTTTCCATTCCATCTCGACCATTCCAGCTATAGTTAACTGGTAGTTCCTCAATTTTGTCATATTCTCTAATCTGCCAAGATGTTTTGCTCTACATTTCCTTATGTGTTTCAAACATTAACTAACTCACCTCCTCCAAAGCTCAATGGTCATCTCTACTGGAAGCCTTCACTGATCCTCCAAGGCAAAGTTATTCCTCTATTGCTTTATATGCCTATCACGCCAACATATTATTACTGTATAATAATTATTCTTTCTTATCCTCCTGTCTCTATAATAATAAAGAAGGTCCTTGAGAACGTGGATACCTTTTTGTCAGCTATGCATTCCCAGCATCTACTATAGTGCCTGGCACGAAACGTGAATTCTGTTGAGTAAACTTTTGTGTAGGAGAAAGTAAGGAAGAAAAGAAAGGAGGGAATGAAGGGTAGAAAGGAGGAGGAAAGGAAGAAAGACAGGTCCCCTTTAGAACAAAATAACTAACAATTTAAATTTATTGAGCCATAACTCAAGAAAATATTTTCAAATATATTTTAAAACTTAAAAACATAAAATTAATATAATCTGTCAGTTCACTCTTGACCTCTCACATTCAGTCATCATCTTCCCCTCCTTTCAATAATCTTTTCCTCCAACTTGAAATATTTTGCTTCATATTTGTTTAGATAAATACTGTCAAGACAAAAATGAAGCCCCAGAACCCCTGATCTCTAATAAAGAGACATCACGAGACATGAAATATTCACTTTACTTACAATACTTTCTGTATGAGAGAAATGTCCTATCTGCTATCCCTTAAATTTGATGGTAACTTGTGGAGATGTTCAGTCCCAGTCTACAGTTTCAAAAAGGCACAATTTCTCAGGAGTCTGGGAGTGATGTGAGGGATTCAACTGGTAAAGCATGGGAGATATTTTAGGGCAGTGAAACTATTCTCTATGATATTGTAATAGTAAATACAAGATGTTAAGCATTATAGAATTTTATACCACAATGTAAACCTTAATGTGTGCAAATGAAAAAAATCAACTAGGCAGCTGGTGGACTACAGGATGAAAGGCAAAATATTAAAAAGAACAAAACAAAACAAAAAATACAAATGCATTACAAATGTATGAAACAACCTCACAGAAGGGGGTGAAATAATAAGGTGTTGACCTAAGTAA